CAGTGTCACTGGCCCTCATATGTGGGATCCGAACCGGGGCCCTCTGGCATCCCAAGCGAGTTCTTAACCATCGCGCCACTCGGCCGGCCCTCTTTACATCTTCTTTATAAATACATAAGAATAATTCAAAGCAAGGTGCGGATAAAACGGCACAGATACAGAATTCATTGTGCAAACTTTTTAGGAAGATAACTCATGCTTTTTAAACTTTTAATGTGAGGAAAATGCTCATAAATGTTAAGCAAAAATTCTGGATGCAAAAGTGTAATCTTTATTGTGTAAAAGATATGTATATAAATATGTCAAATGTCTATATAAAATATACCAAATATCAATAATACTGAATGAAAATATACCGAATATCAGTAGAGATAATCCCTGGGTAAAAACCTCTTCTCACACTCACTCAGTGCTACCATTTTCAACAACAAACATACTTTTAACAATCAGGGAAAAAATTAATGCCACTTGTTAAAAAAGACGATGGAAACCTGCTTTTTATAATACAGATTTATAAGTGATAGGGTCCAGGCTCTCTAAACAACTTTGAAATATTTAGTTAGAAACAAATTATTTGACTGGGGGTGGGGCAATGATGATCACAGGTGGGCAGTTGGTGCCGCATCACTGCCATTATGATGCCCCTGATTTTTTTAAGATCCTGTTAGCTACCTCTCCTGCACTATCCAGGAGCGCATGATCCTCTAGCGCACCAAGCCGCAGGACTGACCAAAGGTTCAGAGACCAACATGGGTAAGAGGATGGTGGCCAGGCTCAGTCTGGGGCTGCTGCTTCTGGCGTTGCTTCTACCCACGCAGATTTATTCAGAAGTTCCTTTGACCAGTACGCCAGAACCTCCCGAAACCACCACAACATCCAAATGTGTCCTGCAGTTAACAGGCAGTCTCCTTGTGGTCTTATTTGCCCTTCTACATCTCTACCTTTAAGAGGCTGGGGCCAAGGAACATCTACAGTTCACCTACCCATGTTCTACAGCTCAATCCATATGGCATCTTGAAGTTCATTGTGGCAAGGAAAAAACAGGCCTTCATCAAATCTGCTAATTACTAATCTACCACCGAAAATATTGAGAGTCTCACATTGAACTGGTTTAAAGAACATCTGAAGGTTTGACTACGTAATGGAGGCCGATATTAAGTCTGCTGGAGTTTTCATGTACAAGGATGAAGAGAGAGACAACATTGGAAATTAATGACGTGATTAAGTATAGCTTAAGGAGTGAGGATACTTAAAACCTTACCTTGAAAAGAAGAATAATTTGACCTTAATCTAGAGAAAAAGGATGAGCCGTGGAATGGAGATTCTGCTTTCACATTGGTTCATTAAATCTAGAAGGCAGTAAAATGATTAGGTAATACAAAGAACTTCCATGATTCCATTCATATGTGCATTGGAAGGAACCACGAGGTGTTACTGTAAGTCCTCTATATTTCTGTCCTAATTTAATGTTGGTGTACTCTACATAAAGTTTTGCGTTGTTAAATTTTAATTATTCTCTTGGGAACTTAACTCTTTCCCCTGGGGCCTTGTATTTGATATCAAGTTTGACTTTATGTAGTAATGGACATGTGCCAGGGCAATAATGGATTGGAATCTACAAATCCAAACATGAATAATTCTTGCTTATACTCTTAAAAGTCAAGTGACAGGTAGTATTTCCTATCACATATTCCCATCCAACAAGAGTACCAGATTTGTTTAGCTAACTCGGATCATTTAAATTGATTATAAAGATTAGAAGTGCATTGACACCAATCAGTGTTAAAATACTGCTCTTTATTTCTGCATACTTATATGTTGAATAATTTTTACAACTTAAAAATTTGTCTGGGGCCGGCTGAGTGGCACAATGGTTAAGAACTGGCTTGGGATGCCAGAGGGCCTCGGTTCGGATCCCACATATGAAGGCCAGCGACACTGCCCTCCACAGCTAAGATGCTGAACCTGGAGCTCAACCTGGAGCTGGGCTGCTGTGAGTCACTGGCGACGGCGTAGGCTGCAGCCCCTGTGGCAGTGGGTTGCCATGGGCTACCGTATGTAGCCAGCAGCCAGCACGAGCGGCCAGCAGCTGCAGTGAGCGGCCGTCCAGAAGCCGGCGACTGATCTGCCTCACCCGGGAAGAGCGCAATGATGGTGCCAACTTGGGCCAGTGAAGCAACGTCCTCCACAACTAGACTGAAGAACAAAATGACAGCAACTTGTCTGTTCCCCTTCCCCCAATTTCCCAGCACTGTTCCCATCCCAATTCCCCAATAAAAATCTTAAAAAAAAAAAAAATTTGTCTGATTTGAAGGTATATTTGACAAACATTGAAATTAAGAGGTAAGTATATGAAGGAGGCAAAAGTAATGTGTATTGGGTATTTAAGGAGTGAAGACTGGAAACTTGCCTGCATTAAATTCCCAACTCTTTTGTGCTCTTTCTATAAATATTTTTTTAAAAGCCTTATGAATCAGAATAGCTACATTTGGAACCTTTTCTATATCAGTCAATGTTTTTAGATAGTTAGAACCTGGTCCTAAACCTATTTGGCCTTGATTCTTGAAATTAAGACTTTTTTTTTTTTAAAGATTTTATTGGGGAATCAGGGGAAGGGGAACAGACAAGTTGCTGTCTTTTTGTTCTTCAGTTTAGTTGTGGAGGACATCGCTTCACTGGCCCATGTTGGTATTATCATTGTGATCCTTCTGGGTGAGGCAGATCGGTTGCCGGCCTCTGGATGGCCGCTCACGGCGGCTCTCGGCAGCTCACATCAGTGCCGGCCACATATTGTAGCTTATGGCAGCCCACTGCAGCAGGGGCTGCAGGCTACGTCTTTTCCGGCGACTCACGGCAGCCCAGCTCCAGGTCGAGCTGTTGTTCAGCATCTTAGCTGTAGAGGGCTCAGCGTCACTGGCTCTCATGTGGGATCCGAACCGGGGCCCTGCTGCTTAGAGCTGGCGTTCCAAGACAGCTCTTAACCAATGCGCCACTCAGCTGGCCCTTGAAATTAAAACTTTTATAACTGCCTTGATATACAGAAACCTTTTTAGAAATAGACACTCCATGAAGTCTTTGGTTCACATGTTCACACACTGATGCTTAGATGTTACAGTATCCTGTATGGCCATGGTACCCTTAATAAGTTTTAAGCCAATATTTGCCATTTTTAGAAACCTACGCGGTACCAGATCCAACAGATCTCAAGTTATGTGAGATCTATGTGTGTGAATGAACATACCCTTTTGCTTCATAACTGAACACTATACATCTGTTTGGATTATATATTGTGTTTAGAATTGATTTACATTGAACACAAGCTAGATAAAAAATAAATGGCTGGGGACGGCCGAGTGGCTCAGTTGGTTAAGAGCTCGCTCAAGAGTGTGAGCTCTGAAGAACAGGGTCGCTGGTTAGATTCCCAACCCAAGCTGAGCTGCCGCTGAGCTGCCAACAGGTGGCAGGATGAAAGAATAATTAAAACAAAGTATTTGACATATATAAAATGATGTTTATGCATATAAAATTTTAGGAATTATTCAATACTGTTTGTAAGGTTACTTAGTAAATGGTTATTGAATACTTGCCATCTTATGAGATATTTAAAAGGAATGCCAAACTCTAGAGCTTTAACTAAATTTTAGACTTTGTTGCTATACCACTATTATTATTTCTGGTTTTCAAAAGAACAACCAAAGGGATACATTTTTGGATAGAGCCTTTTAATAGACTTGCTTTCATGATCTGGTAAGTGTCTTCTACAATAGTTCCCTCATTGTCTGTCACGATTCTTCCTCTTTCTTTCTCATTCTAATATGAACAAGCTAATAGTCAATATCAGCTCTATATTATACTCTATAATATACTCTATATTAATAGAGTATATTATACTCTTAATATATCTATATTAATATATCTATATTATTATATCTATATTAATAGAGTATATTAATATACTCTATATTACAATCCTTTTGAATTATTTGTGAGTTCCATTAAAGAAACTAAGTATTTGGCAATATAGCCAAATGTGGCTATACCATGACCATCAGAGCAATAAAACCTATATTCAGACTTTCCATCACCTGGAGAAAGATTACACATATATTCTCATAACTTTGATCCATAGTAAGATAAAAAGTTTATATTATCCCTTTAGCCCCTTTCTTAGATTGGTCTTTGTTTAGGAGAGTTATAATAACCCCTTTATTGATAGTAAATCAATAGCTTAACTATTGACAGTAAGTAGTAAACAATCAGTTTATCAGAAGGACTTCTGCTATTAACTCCCTAATTGGTAATCTGGAATATGGCTTACTCTTATGACTTTATTTTTCTCACAAAGGCAGGGTAAGCTCTATCAGTTGCATGGGGGAGAAAGACGACCTACTTAATACCTTGAACAGAACCATGATCTCCCTTGCAAAAAGGAAGTTTGGTTCATGATAGTGTTCATTTGTTAACTTGATTTAATTTTCAGAAAAATACAATGAAGAACTTCTCAGTAATCTAATAGGTGAGTCAATGATAATCTAATACCAAATCAGAATACCTTCATTTTAGCTTTCTTCTTTCAGTACCTAGCTTTGTGACCATTCAAGCTTACTGGATCTAATTTGAAAACTGATTCTTTTAGAATAGATGTCACAAATGTTCATCAGCTCTAAAAAAAACTTCTGATATATGATTAAACTTTTAATTGACTTTTTCTCTATAAAAATGGCTTAGGGATAACGTAAATTATTTTTCAAAAGTTACAGCTACTATATGTCACCTTAAACAATTCGGGGTTTTTTCCTTACTAGGTAATACATTCATATGGTTCAAAAGGGTATATAGCCAAATATAACCACTTGCTGTTTTTTCTGTTCAAGTGGATTGTTAATTTTTTTGCTTTTTATTATCACAAAGTTCTTGCTGAAGGATTATATTTCCACTTTTATCATCCGCTTAACGTGTTGAAAGAAGATGCTATAGAAAGAGATATGCCTTTTTTAATAAAAATGACAACTATCCTGAAAAAGAAACAGATTCAACAAAGTAACAGGCAAAATAAATTGTTAAACATTTTGTTGCTTTAGTACTTAGAATTTGTAGGCGTTTGTCAATTAACAGTTGAATTTTTTCTCATTTTTGACCAAACAGACCTACTGCATTTTAAAGTAATGTTCCTGATTTATATGTTTATTACTATTTTTTTTTTACAGTTGATATTGACTATTGAAGTTCTCTGTTCTTTCCACAGAGTACGTCCTTTGCCACCTGATCACACAGATGATGAAAAAGAATAAAACTCTCTTATTCATCCTTGACTAATGTTTCCTGTTTACTCTGGTATTGTAGAATGTAAATTTGCATAAATGTATTTGTTCCAATTAGTTTTGTTGAATAGGCATTTAATTTAAAAAATGATGGTTACGTATAGTTATTCAAAATCAAGTAGTACGGTACTGGAAAGTTTGTAAGATTAATAATGGTTACTTACCTTAGTATTCAATATGATGCAGTATTTGGTTTCTTTGACCTGTTATTAAGCTTCTTATTCTTGCTAAAAACAAATCATTGCATGGTGTTCTTAATTACAAATCTGTTGTGTTTGAAATTTGCTTAGATCATTGTATTGCTGCCGTTTTTATTAGCATTAGATTTTTGGAATGGTGCCATATTTTTGTTCCTTTTATTTGCTTTAAAAAGCAGTTAGATTTCTGCACATTAAAAAAAATCAGTATTAATTAAACTGAACCTACATCCTTTTAAATAATGGGGGCCAAAGATGCAATGTTGAAAAAATTTGGATCGCTGTCTTAGAAAAATGTAAGGCAATGAGGGTTTAAATGTTTGATAAAGCTTCTCACAACAAAAAACATTAAAATACTAGCATAGAATCAGGCAGAAAGATTTCATAGACTACATTAAAATAGGAATTTTCCTAGACTATGCATTTGATTCAGTATCATAAAATATTGCCCTCTGGGCCTATACATTTAGAGTTGGAAATCAATAAAACATGAAAGGCAAATCATGCCGTAAAGCCAGAGCTATGTCTAAAATCCTTAGAGCTACCATTATATTTTTTCAATATAATCAGGAGTATAATTGAAGAGGGGTATAATGCCACTTACTAATGGTAATTCTTGTTTCCTCATCATACTTTTTGCTCATTGACATTTTTTTGTCAAAAATAACCATATTTTAACGGGCATGTTTTTTTGAAGTTTGTTTTTAATAAATGATACTTATTTTCACAATCGACGGTATCCATTTGTGTGCTTCTTAAGATTATATTCTACTAGATACTTCTGTTTTATTCCTTCCAAATACAAATCAGTGCATTGACCTGATTTTATCAACTTCCAAACTGAGTCCTGATGACTGTAGATTATATTTTTTGCTTTGTCTTCTAGAGGTGGATATTTAATAGAATGTTACTGACTTGTGAGTAGAGTTTATATCCTAAATACTTCCTTGATAATTAGGCTTCTTATTAAGGAGTAGCTTAAATCAATTCTATTAAAGTTAAGTTTTGATGAATCTGAAATCTGATTTGTTATTTTTCACTGGTGGAAAGAGAAACTTTTTGGTGGTATGTCAAATGAAGTCTAATTTTGATATGTAATTAAAAAAAATGTGACCTAAAGAAACTAGCCTTTTCAAATATACAACATTTGATGATGTCTCACTTTTATTAGGTAGAGGTCCCATATAATCTATTTCCTTGTCAAAGCTTTTGAAAATGTAGATTGGCAATTTAGCCTCTTCTAAACATAAGGGAAGTACAGACTTCCTGATTCCATTGAAACTGAATCAAAACATAAAATTTTTACATAATTAAGCTAAGTTTGTAATTTTGTACTCTTCACAAAGTTAATCTGGTTTTCCTCTTTGAATGAATTATTCAAATTATTAATGCTAATGTTAAATTCCTGGCCAAACAATGGTTAAAGCTACTTTTCTGGAATTTTTGAATGATGAAACATTGTAAGGATCATATGTGTTTTGTGTTTATATAATTTCACAAAGGAAGAGCAATACAACAGCCAAAATTATAAAGTGTGCTCAAAGTTATTTATGACAAATGCTTATTATTTTTTAAAAAGAAGAAAATAAAACCTAAACTTACTGAACCTTTCACATTTGTATATACACACAGCTTAGAAATCACACTGTATTTAGGATCCTTTAAGGCTAACTCACTTTTGGAAACCTTGGCCTTGGTCCAACCAACATTGTTATAATTGTTCCTTTTACCTTTGAGGACAGCATGTGGAAGTTGGAGCGATTTTCACTGATGTGAAACTAGGAAGAATGTTAGAAGCCATCTTATTCAATCCCAGTTACAGCTGTTCATTACGGGGGACTGTTTTATTGGTTGGCAACTCTAATTGTGAAAAATGTTATGAGTTAAAAATATGAATTTTTCTAACTCCCCTCTTCCTATTTTTGGTTCTGTCCTTGACATGACACAGAACAAGTTATTCCTTCCACATAGCAACTTTCACATATTTAAAGATAGCTGTTACATCTTTAGCCTTCTCTTCCTAAGGCTAAATGTTCTATTGATGAAAAAATTTAGATAATTGTTGTCTTAGAAAAATATAAGGCAATTTGGTCCTGAGGGTTAAATGGTTGATAAAGCCATTGTTTATGTCATTGTTTTTTATTATTTTTTAAATATTTTATTGGGGACTCGGGGAAGGGGAACAGACAAGTTGCTGTCCTTTTGTTCTTCATCCTAGCTGTGGAGGATGTTGCTTCACTGGCCTATGTTGGTATTATCATTGCGCTCTTCCTGTGTGAGGTAGATTGGTCGCTGGCCACTGGACGGCCACTCACGGCGGCTCTTGGCAGCTCACACTGGCTGCCAGCCACTCACGGTAGCTTATGGCAGCCCACTGCAGCAGGGGCTGCAGCCTACACCATCGCCAGGGACTCATGGCAGCCCAGCTCCAGGTCGAGCTGTTGTTCACCATCTTAGCTGTAGAGGGTGCAGCATCACAGGCCCTATTGTGGGATCCAAACCAGGGCTCTGCTGCTCAGAATTGGCGTCCCAAGCCAACTCTTACCCAATGTGCCACTCGGCCGGCCCATTTATGTCATTGTTTATGTCACATGTATCCTAAGTAAGTTTCTCAAGTCCCTGTAAGGTGCTATGTCTTTTGTGTTGTATATTGATTAGGCACATAAATGATAAATTTAGCTACATTTCTTGTAACTGATCCCAAGTATTCATTAATTGTTAGACTCTAATTTTGATATATTTGGAGATGCCAATGTAATTCTAAGAATATGTAGATATTAATTACTGTAGGAATATTTAAATATTAGTTAACAGTTGTTTCCCAAAAATAAACATTAGATACCCTAAGTCTTTCTTAAATGATTACAAAGGGTAATAAAAATGAAAAAAAGCTTGTAAGAACTGGGAGAAAAAGGCTGGAGCTCATATTGATCTACAGGATAAACGTACTGTACTGACTTGGAAGGCTTTTTATTTATTTTTTATTGGGGAATTGGGGAGATGGGAACAGTGCTGGGGAATTGGGGGAAGGGGAACAGACAAGTTGCTTTCGTTTTGTTCTTCAGTCTAGTTGTGGAGGACATTGCTTCACTGGCCCAAGTTGGCACCATCATTGCGCTCTTCCTAGGCGAAGGAGATCAGTCACCGGCTTCTGGATGGCCACTCAATGCAGCTGCTGGCTGCTCACACTGGCTGCTGGCTACACACGATAGCCCATGGCAACCCACTGCCACAGGGGCTGCAGCCCATGCCGTCGCCGGCGACTCAAGGCAGCCCAGCTCCAGGTTGAGCTGTTGTTCAGCATCTTAGCTGTGGAGGGCAGTGTCACTGGCCCTCATATGTGGGTTCCGAACCAGGACCCTATGGCATCTCAAGCCAATTCTTAACCATCGCGCCACTCGGCCGGCCCTTGGAAGGCCTTTTGAGATCTGAGAGCACTGTCTTAGTTATGATTCATATGAAGAATATGGATTCCTTTAGTACTGCTCACAAAATCCTAAAAACGTAGTTAAACCCACATAACTAGTTTTAGGTATGGATTGTGCACTATACCTTTAGAGGTCTCCAAACAATGAGTATGTAGAAAATTATAGATTATAGGAGTCGTGAATATTTAGGAGTCAAGTGAGTTATTCATATACTTATACAAAGTGAATAATAAAATTGTAGGAAGAGGATCTAAATGAATACTGGTTAAGTTGTATTTCTTCAGGTAATGAGAAAAATGGCTGATGCATAGAATTTGCATTTTTATATTGGCTTAAACTACCACATTTAATTGTTACTAATTTTACCCAAGAAGCATTTCTTTCTATAGAACAAATTTGCCATAATCGTGTTTTCAAATTTTTAGAGACATCTAAGTCCACCAGAGTTTTAGATAAATCATTGTTCGTTGGGTTCATAGTTTTTTTTTTCCTAATTTTTTTTTCTTTTAGAGGTTCATTTATTGTTCTTTAATGTGCCTTAATTCATTTCACTGCAAATTACATTTTTGATATATAAAAAAGATTGGAAGAGGACAGGAAGTCCTCCTGTGTCCTGGGAGTGTGGCAGAGAGGGCATTTGGGGGCTTCAGGGACCAGGCAACATCCAGGCCATACGACACCGTGAGTGGATGTCGTGATGGGGGGCGGGGAGGGGAACTTCGAGGCTGGAGAAAACAAAGCGCGTCAAGAAAGGTCCTGCTTCTCCAGGAGACAGTGGAGGGTTTGCTTTGGGGAAAGGGATGTGATCTAGTAAGAGACTGTAAACCACAGAGCCAGGGCAGTCACCCAGGCCAGACACAATGCCAGTGCGGAGCAGCACATCAACAGAGAATAATATTGCCTTGTGGGACCATCAAGCGGCCCAAACATCGTCCCCAATGCTGAGGCTCCACATCCTCTTTGTGGAGGGTAAGACGCCAAGGGTCACCGCGTAGCCCCCTCCCCAGCCCGAGGCCCTGCCCTCGGAATCAACACTATGCACCAATATGAGCCTTCCTTAATGGAAAGTTTCTGCTCCAAAACAAAAACAACACAAGCAAATGAAACTCAAAACAAAAAGACATCACAGTGACCTTTAACCCTCCTGCTTCACCTCTGCCCAAGTCAAGCCAGTGAGAAACGGTCTGCCCTGTTACTTCTGCTGATTCATCACGGCACAACGTAACAAAATTTAGCACATCACTGCTCCTACTACATCCCCTCCCAACCCAAAAAATACCACACAAAATATAAACTCAAAAAATACCACACAAAATAAAAGTCAACATCAACTTAACGATCCTACTGTAATATTATCACTACTCTAGGCTATTACAGTGCTCGTCTTCCGACCTATGTTCAAAATATCCCCATTCTGAGAGCTCTGGAGGCATTAAAAACATTGGTTGCATTAGATTCCTGTTCTTGAGGTAGTTCAAAGTCTTGAAACGTGGCAAGTTTACATATGTCTACATATCACCACTGAGGGCTCATTACACCACTGAGGGCTCATTAACACAAAAGGCCTATAACCACAGTCCTCACCCTCTGATTCACAAATCACATCAGACTGGGTTCTCCCCAGATGATACAATCTAATTTAAAACTAGGAACAGAGATTAAGGTTATACAAAAATGTAAAAAATAAAAACAAGCAGATAAACGAAACATAAAAAGCAATCTGTCCATGGCATCACACTAAGTCTAAATTTTGCCACAAACAAAAAAATCTACTTGGTTTACAAAAGATACAGGCATTTTATAAAGTATTAAAGAAATACCAGCTTATAAAAATAGGGGGAAATTTTTAGGTGGGAGCATGAAAGTAAAAGCATCTCATTCTCTGGCAAAAGATTCTTCTAAAATGTAGTGTCCTCAAGGAGCGATGTTTGGCAGAAGCCCTGTGCCTAGGCCGACTCACAGCGGCTCCCAGTCAGGCCGGCTCTTCCTCAGGTCTGCTTCATAGGTGCAGAGCTGTTAGCGGACGCCTGCTCCAGGTAGGCCAGTGAGCCCTGGGGGACGTTGGCTGGCTTTTTGTGCTGCGCGCTGATGTCCTCCAGCACCTGTTGCCAATGCCGCAGCTTGGTCATGTGCTTCTGGACCAGAGCATCCTTCCGCTGTAGCTCATTGCTTAGTTCCGAGACATCCTCTTTGATAACTTGCTCTGGTTTCTGGACAGATAACTGCAATCTTTTCTGTAGGAAAAAACACTCTGTCTTTCAATATCCAGAAATTTCTGGATACACTGATCGACACCAGGTTGAATTTCTTCCTGATCCGTGCCATTGACATAGTCCTGACTCACTAAAGAAGCAAAGCAAGCCTCGAAAGATGACTCCAATTCATCCACCAAGGTACTTGGAGAAGATCTCGGAGCGCCTGGCGCGGCCTGAAGAAGCAAAGGCTGGCCCGGGAGTCCCAGCGGGGGCGGCGGGGGTCCGGGCGGCTGCCCGGAGAACATAC